TTTATGAACGAAACTTGCGAAGTCCATAAATTAGGCGGCAGCAAGAATTTTGCACTTTTTGTATTCTTTTTTTATCTGAATCATATAAGTATGGCCCATATATGAAGTCACAGTAGTTGAAATGGCTTAGCACCAAACTATCACAGATCATTCTTTTTAGAGGTTGGCTCAAAATAAAACGATTACAGTACAACAGTTTCAATGACATATAAGCTTTTTTCATTAAAATTTTAACATGACTAGTGAATCTAAGATCAGTGTCAAGCACCACCTCTACGGTGCTTTACGCAAACGAAAAAGACTATACTAGGATTTTCATTTTGCTGTTGGTGGATAATTGTGGAAATGACTTCCAAGGTTTGAAGTCACATCGATCTGGTGAACAGGTAGATTTGCCCTATTTTAGACTTGAAAATGAAAAATCCAGCAAATGGGTGAGTCAAGTAGAATTTCTCAAACTTATTGAAAACAAAAAAAATCTGACAGTGATAATTTAGAAATTGGTGAGCAGCCTCCTGCAAAGAAAGTAAAATCACACTACGCCACACTATCAATTCATCAGTAAGTTAATTACTTACAGGGTGTTTCCTCACTACAGTACGAAACTTCGAAGAGTGATTCGTTAGGACGTTTTAAGAAAAAATAAGCCCATTTTTCTAGCAGCAAGATCAGCACTTGAACCCTACACGGACTTTTCGCGAGATCATTTACCCATTTTTTTAAGAAGAAGTGCCGGTATTTGTAAGAGACAACATGTGGTTCATGCAGAACAGGGTTCCAGCTCATTTTAGCGTTCTTGCTCGTCAGCATCTCGACATGGATAGGACGTGCAGGACTTTAAAATTGGCCAGCTCGCAGTCCTGATATGAATTCTCTGATTTCTATTTATGGAGTCATCTGAAGGCTCATGTACTTCAGGAATCGGATAATTGACAATTGCAATGCCATAAGAAATACTCCAGGTTATAGCTTGTTAAAATAAAATAAAATAATGTTGTTGGGTTTACTGATTACTACATAAGGACACATTGCAAAAATAAATTTGGATAGGCAATTGTGAAATTAATTTTTATATAGCTGAAAATTGTTTTATATAAACATATATTGTAAAATAATAGATAAGGCAAAATTATAAAATTAATTTAGGTTGGTATGCCTGGATGGTTTACCTGTATAGCATAAATAGGATTAAATCGCACTTAGTTTTAATCTTCCTCTTTGATGATGATCACTTGGTGATCGAAACACGTGTCGAGGTGTTGAAAATAACGATTTGGTGTTGGGAAAAAACTCCAGTAATATTCATTACTACACCAAAGGTTCCAAACAGTGCATCATAGGATCAGAACAGATTGTATAGCCGCAAAAATAACAAAGAAACTCTCTGCTCCTCTACCAAGTCTTTGTGTAAGACAGACTATTATAATATAGTGGTGCCATATCACTACATAATATAAAACAAAGGCAGTAGCCGCGTCTGTCTGTACGCAATAAACCCAAAAACTACCGAACAGATTTTCATACTGTTTTCACCAGTAGACGGAGTGATTCAAGAGAAATATTTATGTGCACAATTAATTATTGTTCAGTTTAAATAGGTTCAAATATGACTATACTACCCGTGCAAAGTCGGAGCATGTCGCTAGTTGAATAATATTTGTACTTCATAAGAAAGATACTCATGCAGATTACATTGTAATGTATCACCGCCTCTAGGTTGAGACAATGAAAGGGTAATAAGTGCTTACGAATGCCGATTCCTAAAATTGGTACTAGTATACTCTCAAAATTTGTTGACAAATCGTAGGTATATATAAATGATGAGATCAAGAAATAAACGAAATAATGGTAAAAGGAATGGTAAACAAACTTATGGAAATGAAAATTTTCAAACAACTTTTAGTTTCAATAATAATTATATATGTCTGTTGTCTTTATGCCATTAAAACTTCTATATACTTGGAGTTGAGATATATATCGGGAGAACAACCATTTATGTTACAAGGTCAATGAAACAATCAATTGACCATTCGCAATTAACATTTCCAACCTTCTCACAGGGGCAATTTATTAATAACTAACATCTACAATTGATTTTAATAGCACTGTTTGATGTTGTACTACGAATTCGATGCTTTTAGGGGTATCAAGCGAGATTGAATTCAAGAGACATATTAAATTTCGAATTTTATTTACTTCTTGGGAAAACACTAGTGGTAACGGGCTAAATTACCTTTGGAAAAAAACTAACATGAGGTACCACCTTCTACTTTTTACTTTTTTTTCACTGCGAGAGGACTGAGGAAAACTTTTGACTAAATTAACAAAACAATGTTCGTAGATAAACAATTTAGTTTTGTGTCAACGTTTCGGACTTTATTAAATCCATCATCAGGGCTCTATAATAAAATAATTTTATAAGTGAACAGTATATGCCAATACATATTGTTCACTTATAAAATTATTTTATTATAGATCCCTGATTATGGATTTAATAAAGTCCGAAACGTTGGCATAAAACTAAATTGTTTATCTACGAACATTTTTGATCTCTTTCCCAACCAATAGAAAAAACCGCCTTTGAAAATATTTTGGATCACCAAACCAGGCAAAGTATAGAATATGTTTATTCGATGGAACAAACTTCGGCAGCTGGAAATTTAGGCT